AAGAAATTTAAAGTTACATGTTCTCTGTTCGAGAGTTTTTTGATTCGGGGTCTTTTGCTCTATATCTTTCCTTCCTTTTATACTCCCTGGATGATCTCTTTGTGATCAACCGTCTAAAAACTGTTTGATCGTTCTATAACTGCCCACTTTCCTCGTAATGGCCAACTTGTCATGGAACTGTCTTTTCTAACTGCTGTCATTACTCTTTGTCATTCAACCGTCTTCAATTGAGTTCCTTGAATCGTGGAACGTGATAGGGCTGCTTTAATAACTGCTTTGATAACTGCGCTTCTTGATAACCACAACACTTCATATTTGCTAAGACCTTGGGCGACTCGAAGGTTTGGGCGAGAATAGAGTAACAGCTCTGGGCGACTGCATGACACTCCATTCGTTCAGATCCTGGGCGACTTGCAAGTTTGGGCGATGGTATTACCATGTTCATGGGCCTCCCTATTTGGGCCTTCATTTTGAATTGTCTGATTGGGCTTTGTTCTTTAGGCTATCTGATTTGGGGATCCTCTAATTGGGTTTCATTCCTTAGACCGTTCGATTTGGGCTGAATTTTTATGTGTCAACAATTACCCCCCAATATGGCAGAATTAATATCAATTATTAAATTTTGCCATATTCACTTTGTGTTTCCAGCAACATTCGAAATTCCCAAGAATTTCAATCATTGTTTTCTTCCATAGCTTGAAAAGGTGCGACGTTTTGCAAACCCTTATAACCCCCAAATACGCTATTTCACTACACCATTAAATCACGTCTCACTTTTTCGCTTTTCTCTCCCACAATTTACTATTCATCTCTTTGCTTCCCTACTACGTAACTCTGAAAAACTCCGTTTCATCCCTAATGGCTACTTCACAATCTCAATCTGGCGACTCCTTTAGTTTTGATGACTTTCAGAAACTCATTAATTGTCCATACATAGCTCCGAACTTTCTCGCGCTTGCCAATGTTGAACTCAATAAGTTCTACCTAGGTCCTTTCTTCAACAATGCAGAGGCAGTCGAACAAGCGGTGGTGGGCCAGCTGTTTCCTTGTACTCAAGGCCCTCCATTTCTAAACTCTCTACCGCTGGGGCCACTTCGCGAAAGAGGTATTCGCACTTCGTCTAAATCTGATGTAGTTTTCCGTAGGTGGCATGCTCGCCTTGTGGACCATGGTCCTACTAAGGCACTTTTTGATAATGCTAGGATTTCTGATTTGTTAAAAATCTCTCTTCAACCCCCTACTTTTGATTCAGCACTTTTTTCGATCACTTTGAGTTTTTGGTCTTCTGAGTATAATACCTTTGTTTTCCCTTTTGGCCCCATGTCTATTACTTTAAGGGATGTTGGGACCCTAGTGAATCTGCCACCTTTGGGCGATACCATTTTTCTTGATATCTTGGTTTCTGGTGGTACCCCAAAGTTTGGTAAAAATCTCACCGAGTCTTATTCAAGTCTGCAAACCCTTCATAACCACTCGAGCGCTGAGCCTTCCCATACTGAGCGAGTGGCCTTTCTTCTG